CTGATTGTGCCACACATCCTGGATTAAAAGTTATCCCTTGGATTATAATAGCAGTAGCATGACAGGACATTCTGAGTATTGTAGATGGATGTGTTTGCAAGTATGTTCTGTAATGTGTCTGCTGAAGAATGGCATCAGAACACAGATAGTGCTTATTTGAGTTGCACTATTTAAAGAGTATTTTTGCTTTCTCTACTAAAATCTGAGAGTGCAACTCTAAGTGGCAGGGGGTCCACTGCATTCAGGTACTTCTCCTTGACAGTGAAAGAGATTAGTTGCAAAGAATTGAACCCATGGCCTGAAATGCAAGAAGCAATGATTGCAAAGTAGTTAAATAAATATTTGTGTACATCTGCATGCGTTTAATAAATAATATGAGATGTTCAAGAATAAACTTTTGAGTGAGACAGAATGGCCTAATTTTATAATTTATTAAGCATAAGATCTGTAAACTCTCAGTGTCTCTTGTCCCTCAACCATACCATAGGTCTGATATTAGTATCTACCTCTCCAGCTTATTTTATAGGTAACTTGAGATAAGCCTGTAGACCACTTAGGTGGTGCCTGGCATGTGTCAGTGCTCAGTCGATGCTATCTCTTAGTGTGATCCTGGTGTGAGCTGTGGGTGCCGCCTCCTCTCTGGGCCTGAGGTCGTCTCCTGCATCTGCCTACATCTTCTCCTTCTTGATAATTCCTTTTTAAAGCTGCATATGCCTCTCAAACTTCTCAGCCTCCCACACTGCTCTTTCTTCCACCTGCTGTCAGAGCTGACAGCCCAGTTGCACAGCCCTCAGCTTTGCTCCTTTGAGAGTTGTTCAAAGTGTTGTTTTAAAACACAGAGACATTCTGCCTTAGTGTTTTATTTTTCTTTGTGATTGTGCATATCTTTGCCACGCAGGAAATACCGGAGGTGTGACTTTTTAAGTGGGACTGTACATTACAAAATTCCTTTGTGTGGAAACACCTAAAAATATTCTTGACAAGACTTTTGTGGTCTGTGATGCTATGAATGAAAGGGTGTAGGAAGTCTACAATGATCTCCCAAAGTCCCCTTTCCTTTCCTTAAAGTAGATCTCTCTCTCTTTTTCTCTCTCCCTGTATATATATGTATATGTACTTGTTATGTATGTACTATGTATATATATATATGCACATGTCATATATGTGATCTGCATATATATATATATATACATATGTCCTATATATATAAAACATCCTTATGTACACATCTCAATATATGTGGTTCCAAATCTTCTGAAGGAAACTAAAATGTTTTTCAACTTGGAGGAGAGATAGTTATTTAATTGTTTCATGCCCATTAGAACCTATTTGTACATTCTCTAAAATGTATATAGCATTGGCAAACTGATGATAGAATTACAATAGTAATTTAATGCACCATGGCCAGCATACTCACACAATTTACTTATCTAGATACATAAATACATAAAACATACATGCACATGCAAATAGCACAATCACTTATGACTAAATTACTACAGAGGACTTCATAACTGGTATTGCGTAAATTATTATACCTCCTCAAATATGTTTTAAATTTGGTATTTATAGTGGTGACTTTAAAAAATATGTGCAAGTATGAATACTGAGCAATGTCTTCAAACTGCAGTGTTGGCACAAATTTCCAAGAAGTACTTTTTTCCTAAGAGCATCTGCCTGCCAGCATATCAATGAATATCATTTATATAAAATATTACTTGTAAATATTTTATGTTGATTATGACATTAAGGCAGGACTGGTAACAAAACTGGTGAAATAATATGGATTCACTATTATTTTTTTTGTGTGTGTATAATAATGTCTATATGTTTTCTTATAAAAATAAAGTTCATTCAGGGTCACTGCATTCAGTTTGTGTAGATCAGGTTCGATTAAGCAAAACTTGCAGGCACTTAGTGCCTATTTTATGCCAAGTTCTGTGCTTGGTACTGGGAAGCAAACATGAATATTATGTGGACCCATCCCTCCCAAGTTCCCTATTATGTAAATAAGTAATTATTGTCTAGCGAACTGCTTGTAAAAACAAGCATATAGCCCTTGTCAGTGTGGCTCAGTGGTAGAGCATCATCCCGTGCACCAAAAGGTTGCCGGTTTGAGTCCTAGTCAAGACACATGCCCAGGTTTCGAGATTGATCCCCAATTGGGGTGCATGCAGGAGGCAACGGATCGATGTTTCTCTCTCACATTGATGTTTCTCTCTCCCTCTTTTCCTCTCCCTTCCTCTTTCTCTAAAATCAATAAAAACTTTTTTTTTAAAAAAAGAAGCATATGCATATACACATACAAGAACAGAGAAGGGGTGATTATCTTGCAGAAGGAGACAGGAAAGGGAAGATTTCATAAAACACAAGTTTGAACAATAAACAGTTTATAAAATGGACAAAGGGAGAATTCCAGGCAGAGAGGAGCAATTGGGAAGGAGTTAAATGACATGCATGTCCAGGGACAGCAAGTTCTGAGACATAAAAGGCAGGGAATGAGTTGGGGTGGGAAGAAGGGAGTGTGAGGACCACACAGAATCAGCCACAACCAGGAGCCTGGCCTTGGTTTGCTGTTGTTCGATTTATGGAATCTGGGAGCCCAAGTCTATTTAGATTAATACAGTATTACCAAGAATAAAAGAATATATTTGCAAATGTTAAGTCATAGGTGAATTCATGAATTTTAGAAGATTCTTAGTTGTATAAATGAACTATTTTATTTCTCCTTACAAACTGTCTATGAGAAATGCTATCTTTAGTTAAAGCTAATTAAACATATTTATTTCAATAGTGGGGTATCCTTTCTGGCTTTTGTATATAAGGGTGATTTAATATTTTATTTTTTCCTCTATAGTTTTGATTAGACCAATGTTGAAATGAATAAGCCTTAAATCTGTGTGCTCTTTCTCCGTTGGGGTTAGTGACAGGGAATATAAATGAGTGATGTGGACCAGGCCTAGTGTAAAAGCTGGTTGTACTAACTTGTCTGTGTGGACTGGGTTAATTAAAGAGTCAACACCACTCCTCTACCCTGCTGTGGGTGTATTACCTGCCATCATTTAGAGATGGGGTCCAACTGAAAAAACAGTCTCAAAAGGAACAACACCGTTGACCACATACAATATCTAGTGAGCCAAAGTTAGATTACGGGGTACTGGTTTACAACCTTTGCCTTTGGCAATCATATCAGGTCTTTTAAAAAATCTGAAGCTTAAATATAGGGGCAGAAAAGATATTTAAAATACTTTTTTGAGTTTTAGGGAGTGACTCCATGAGAATATGTGTAACATCAAAATCAAATTAAAGTGTCTGCACAGCCCTGTTTCCAGCCAACAACAGTCCCCTCCACTTCTCTACACTCTGGGCTCCATTAGTTCTCATTAGCTAAGGGGCCCTGTGGAATGAGGGGAGCTGGGGGCGAGGCATCACAGAAGGGCAGCGCCCGAAGATCCTGGGGTTCATTCTACAAAACAGCTGCTTCTGACGGCCTGCAGTGGTGACTCCACATCTCTAACGGGCGAGTCGTCGAAATGGGTTGGGATTTATGGAGTCAGATAATTCACAAGGAAAGCTGTGGCTGCCAAGGAAAATTTCTCTCCCTGTCTCTTACTGCAAGATTTAGTGTAACTTCTTCAGTTCCCTTGGCTTGTTTTATAAGGGAACTGGCTTTGAGCTGCTTCCGCTGGGAAATGCCACAAGGAGAGAATAAATATTCTAGTGCGACGGGGTGGCCTCTCAGCCTTGGCTGGTCAAGCGCCACTCTACCGCGAACAGCCTGACGTCCCACAGCGTGATGACAGTTTCAGAGCTTTCAAGTTCATTCTCCTCAGAGTTATTCTCTATCATGACAGAGTCATCTGCAGGTAAATTAACTTGGTCCTTTAATGCAAGTGTGAAAGTTGGAGGACAAGGCGATTCTTGCACCACGTCCTGATACATAAGATGGCTCTGCTTTGTTGGCCGTATGCAGAATATTGGAATTGCTATCACAGACCTAGTTTTTAACAGCTTTTGGGATATAATTTAGATACCACGCAGTTCACCTGTTTAAAGTGTACAATCCAGTGGCTTTTAGTATATTCACACAATTGTGCATCCCTGATCACAATCAATTTTAGAACACTTTTATTACTCCAGAAAGAAATCATGAACCCCTTAAGCCATCACCCCAAACACCCATTCCTCCCTGTCAGGCCCAGCCCTAGGCAAATACTAACCTACTTTCGTCTTGTAGATTAGCCTATTTTGGACATTTATATAAATGGATCATGCCTCGTATATACTCTTTTGTGACTGGATTCTTTTATTTAGCATGTTTTCAGGGTTCATTCACCTTGTAGCATGTATCAGTACATCCCATTCCTTTTTACTGCTGAATAATATTCCATTGTATGGATAGGCCACATTTTATTTATTCATTCATCAGCTGATGAAAATTTGAGTTTCCACTTTTTGGCTATAATGTATAATGCTGCTTTGAACATTTGTATATAAATTTTTGTATATTTTCACTTCTCTTTGCTAGGTCTTGGGGTGACTATGTTTAATCTTAAGGAAATGCCAGAATTTCAAGGACTCTTAAGGAACTGCCAGACTGAGCCATATTTTTTGGCACAGCATAATATACATTGTGTCTTCTGGGAACTTCAGTGATGATGTAGTTGTCATATGAAAAAATACATTAAAGTTCCAATAAAGATAAACTTGTATAATTAGAAGGTAAGTAGTAGAAAATATAGGAAAGTGCTTTAGGGGACCTAGTTCAAAGAATTAAAGCACATTTAAGAGAAAATGTGCTGAAGTAGTCGTGAGCACACTTGATAGTACCTCGAAGAAACTCCTTTTGGGTTTTTAATCTGCTCATATAGTGAAGGCTTCAATAAAGAGAAAAAAGCAAAGTTGTTGAGGTGAGCATGCTGTGATGACTTAAAGAGAGGATGACTTAACGTGTTTAAAATGAACAGGGAAATCGAAGTGAGACTAAGGAAAAATGTAAAATGTTAGTGCACTTTAGAAGTTGCCCATCAGAAGTTGTGAAAGCACAGCTCAGCGAATGTAACGGCAGCACCCGCTTGTGTTCTCCTGGTGACCCGCGTTCGCCGAGCACGCGTGTTCTTTCGCCGGGTCCTCACGACTCCTTCCCGCATAGGGCAGCAGGTAATGCTCTTTGCCTCTGATGAGAGCACACTCAGGTACCCGAGGTCAGCTGATTGGACCTGAACCACACTTTTACTCGAAGACTAGCAGCCAGGGCCATGGTCTGGTTTCCTTTATGCTACGGCATTTGCAAAAATAATAATGTTATACAAAACACTGGAAAAGATATTCCTTGCATTTTAGAAGCAAAGGTTGAAGAAGCACAGGTTAGGGGAAGTAATCTTCGCCAGTGTGAAAAGTAAGCTGAAAACACTTAAATGAGCACAATATGCTATAAATAATAGGCAATGACAGAAACTTAGGTTTAATACTTCAGACAAGCTTAGGGAAATACGATAAATGATTACACATCTGTGTTTTGATGTTTCATCTATTCAGTGTCTTAACTGAACATTCGACAGGGTTCTTGAGATTTTAAACATTTATTTTCAGAGCTATCTCCAATTTGTGACATAGAATAATAATATATTTAATCTAAACGATTTATTGCCCTATAATCGAATGGAAACATATGCTCGTATTTTTTCATGATGCAATGAATCTTAACATAGAAAAATACAAAGGGCTGCTTCAAGTCATAACTCAGTATTTAGTTTCAGTAAATTGATGCTATCACTTAAAAAAAAAAAGTAATGTAGATTTAAACTGGATTTTCTTGACAGTTTAACACAGGGATTTATACTGAGCACCATACAACAAAAAATCCTAAATTCCACTTTACATTTCCCAAAATACCCCATAGAGCTGCTTCCTCTCCCTCCCCTATCCCCCTTAAACATCATAATCTCCTTTACCTCTCTTATGCAGTCTCAGGCTTCATTCACTTTCTTTCACACCCTCTTTACTACTAAGCTCTTCCTGCTCTTTCAGCCTTACCTTCCATGTCTGACCACCTGTGTTGTGTTTGGATACAATATGCAATCTACCTTTAATTTCAGGGAATCATTTTCCAAATATCTAAACTGATAGAATTTCTTGAGTAGGACTATTATCGACAATAGAAATGCTGACTTTTGCAGTGTGCTGTACAGGGAGACTTGAGTTCCAGCTGTAGTTTCCATTTTCTTTTCTTCCCTGAAAGAGACAAAGTGAAAACCTTGTTTACAGGCAGCCAAACTATGATAATATTCAGTGTAGACTGCTGTATGTGATACAGCTGTGAAACGAGCTAGAATTTATTATTGAAAGTAGAAGAGCTAGTGTAAATTTATTCAAATGAAATCCTTTGCAAACGTTACAGTAAATAGGCTTTGGAAACATTCTCATTCTGTCTCTTGTACTTTAAAAATGACTTTTCTCAAGATACTACATCTCTAAGAGCATGTGATGAAAGAGATGAAAATTAGGATTGTCAGTATTCAGTGATTTATGTGGTAGGTTTCTCCTCCCACCAGTGCAATGGGATTTTTAATTTGAATTCAGATCTATGCTTGTCTCTTCCTAAATATCGGCACAATATCAAAAGTTCCTCTTGATGGAGTAGACTAGCTACTCCTAAATGCATCCTCAGCACACTGTAGAACTATTTTACTCCTTATGTAGATGTTACAATTCTACCCCAGATAGCATTTTACTCCAGAGGAAAAGTTGGAGTATTCTTTCCATTTTGAAGGTTTTTATAAAACTTTAGTACATGCATATCCTCATTTTAAGTTGTTTTTTCATGTGTGTGTGTGTGTGTGTGTGCTCACACACCCATTTGATTAATTCTGTTGGCCATTGCACACAGGAAATTTGGTATCTTAAAGCCTGCCTAATGGACAAAAGAGACATTATACACAAATCACCAAGTTTTAAAATATTATAAACCAATAAAATGCAGTTAACACTAAGATCATACTGCACATAATTTAATCTGTAGTTTATTGTGATGCATAAATGTCTTCAGAAGGCTGAAGTGCACCAGAGTCTTCATTATGAACAAAAATTTATTGATGCAATAGAATTGTGAGGAAGTTCTGCAAGAAATGTCTGGTTGGTAAGATGATTAATTAAGTCATATTGGAAGAGTCTGTTAGTCTTTCTCGTTTATTTGTGTAGTTTTGAAGCATATTTAAAAGTATTAGTATTTTTCTGAATGACTTTTGACATCCAAGAATGTAGAGACCCATGTCATTCTACTCACATCCATACCTTTTGAGTGTTGAAATTAAACCTTTCTAAGGGGATGCTAATATCTTTAATGATTTTGCCTATATGTACGTGTGTGTAGGGCTTATCTTATTTTTGCATAATATTAATGCATCTGGAATGGAAAGATAAATTTGAAATGAAGACAAAGTTTGATATTTTATTTTTCAAGCATAGTTATTCCCCTCGCCTTCCCTGCTTTAATTTGTTACGGACGTATTAGTGATATCAGCATGAGCTGTGGTGCCCCCTGAGCTGCTTTACTTACTGCCCACACATTTTCCTGACCTCTGGGCCAGATCCTCTTCTAGCTCTTGGGAAATACAGACACATGGGCCTGGTTCCCTGGTCACTGATGAGCTCCTATCTTTGAAGGAGATGCAGGTCCATAACCATAAATCAGTGTAATGGAGGCTATGGAGGACATTGAAGTGTTTTAAGGACACTGAAGAGGGAGTGATCGATTCATCCAGGCTGGGAAAGGGCAAGGACCAGGAAAGGCCTGCCAGAGGTGTTGACAAGTTATGTTGGGTTTGAAAGCGTGAGCAAAAATCTGGGAGATGAGAGATGACGGGATGCACAGCACGGTAAAGGCACAAAGGTGTGAATTAACTATCTAAATGGCTTTTGTATTCTGAATAGCTCTCTCCCTGCTTCTGAACCCTACAGCAACTCCCTAGGGTTTCCTCAGCGACCTCAGCGACCCCTGTCAGTGTTACCTATTGTCCTCCGTAACCCTGCCAGCTTTAGGAAACAGCCAGTTTCTGCCTGATTTCTCCTTCCCTGTTCAGTCTTCTTGTAAGGCTTCTGTGGGATTGTCAAGCCCACTGTTCCCGGATCCCCAACCTCACCGTGAGCCCAGAAATATCAAATCACTGAAATTGGATATTAGACACAACTTGCAGCTATATTTACCCTGAACCTTGTATGATTACCATTTATGCTCGGATACGTATGAGACCCATTTTTGGGCTTTAATGGGAAAACCAATGGAAATCTATTTATGAGACTTGTGCTGTTAGTATCTCTGTTAGACCCGGGAATTCAGCAAGTAAAGAAGTTCCATATTTAGTTCATTTGCATTTAAGAAACGCCTTAGCTCTGTCTTACTTGATGATATAATGGTGCTTACTGTAATTTTTAGCGTGGTTAATTCTAATCGCTCCTCTTCACATGAAATATAATTTGCTATACTCACAAACCTGTGAAAATCTTCCTTTTGTAAGTGGGCTATGCTTTTCTTACACTAAGGGGCAACCGCAGAAAGGGAGGGATAGTTGGGTAGTAAAATGTAATATCTTCTTTGACGTTCCTGGGACCCAGGCGATAGACAGCCATCACTCTGAGAGAAGGCTACAGATTTAAAAATTGCCCTCTGCCAAGACTCAGCTCAATACCACTGCCTCTGTGAAGCTTTTGTGATCTCCCTGCCTGGTCTGTGGTACCCCTTGACTGACAATACTTCATTTTCTTTTTTTGGCTCCCACATGTGTGTAATATGTGCCTCTGCCATAATACCTGAATCTTTTTTTGTACTTTCTTGATTCTGTGCCCCTTACTATTAAAATGTAAATTCCTTTAGGCAGAGGCTATGTTAGTCACCTTTGTGCCTCAGCGTCTATCACGTATTAGATGCCAATACATGGTTGACGAATGAATAAATTACCAAACCGTATTTTAGATTACATAATTTTATATCATGTTATTTTGCTTCATAACATTCATGATAATTTTCTTATTTTACTAAATATCCTTAGAAAATTTGATACCTTTTAATGGAGTATATTTTCTATTATGTAATACTAGTCATTCAGGTTGTTTCTTTTTTTATTATGGAAAAAATGATGTGAATTATATTGTTGTAGTTATATCTTTTTGCACATTTCTAAGAGTTTTTTTATGATGCATTCCTAGAAAGGCAGCTGTGCATTTTAAGGGTTGGCCATTTTTAAGATGCTTGACACCGATTGTCAAATTATTATACCCACCAGAGGGAATGAGGGTGCATATTCCACATGACCTAAACTGGGCCTAAAGGGCGTAAAGGTCAGAGCTTTTGCCAATATGACAAATCTCAAGTCTTCTATCTCAGTATTATTAATTTTTAAGTTATAACTTTTAGATGTGATTAAAAATAGACTTTTCTGTTTGTTGTATAGTTGGGGCTTTTTGTTATTGTTTGGTTTACTTGTTTTTTTTGTCTCTTTCTAAGAGGATGAGGCTGGGGCTGGAGGTGCCCAGTCTGGCATCATCAGAACAGCCCAGGATGGAGAAGGAGACTTCTGATTAGCTGTGTATGGATAGAGGGGTGGGTAGGTGGGGAGCAGTGAGAGGCCCTTTGGGGTACTTGGGACAGAAGAACAATGGGGGCATTTAGATGACAGGCACAGGGTGGGTATCAGTAGTGCTCTGACAGTGTTTTGTTTATCGGTTATCATTCATTTGGGCATTACTTAATTTAGAATTAATTATTCATTCTAGTTGAGAACTGTGAAAATAGGCTCTAAAAGTTAGCCTTGCAGGAGACTAACCCTTTTTTCTCTCTTGGCAAGGACAAAAAGTAAAAAATAAAAAATTCAGGCTTACGTATTGTAATTGTATCAAAATATCCATTGATTTAGAACTTGTGTCAGGTGACCTTTTTTACAGAGAGTAAACTGCTCAGACTGATCCTTAGGTGTTATAAATCTTTTCCTGATAAATAAAAAGCATACTGAATTAATTTCCAATCATAAATTAATGCTGTGAATAATTCAGATCCACATTTACATGGTTGATTCAAAATAAGTTTGGGTTTGGATGGGGCTAAAAATTGCAATATTTAATGTTATTCCAATTTGGTTTACAGTTACATAAATATTCAAATGAAA